CCTTCCCAGCATCTTATTATACAGACGGAATGAAGCATTTCTGAATGTGGCTGGTGTGAGAGAAGCATTTGGGGCTGTGAACTGGACATTTGGCTAGCTCTGCTCTGCTCCACTCTGGATGCTGCAGTGTTCTCAGACAGCTTGATGTAAAGTCCTAGTTTGGAGCAGGTATAAGCTTCTTTAAAAAGAAGGGGCCAGCTTCTTCTGTTTTCTTTTCCTCAAGAATCAAGGAGAGGGAGGAAAGGAATCGGCTCACCCATATTCAAAAGTATCTGAGAATTATGCTTCGTCTAACGTAATGCTTTCATGTTTTATCTATGACATTAAAATTTGTTTTGCTTGAAAACTGAAATTGATTGAGGTCTGGAAGATAAAAATGTGAGCCACGCAGATTTTGCTTCTGTAGATACTGATAAACCCCAGCCAGTTCCCAAACACTACTGTTTTCAGGTGTGAGCCATGAAGAACATGGGAACGTTCTGCATTTTAGGCATGGTTGCAATGGCATTTGACTCTGTTTCCCACATCTCTGAAAATTTCATTGTTGATTCACTTATCTATTTCATTGCCATTCTGCGCTATCAAAATTATCCTAATTACAGGGTCTGGAGAGATTGCTCACTAGTTAAGGCAACACTTGCCGCTCTTGTAGAAGACCAGAATGGTGGCTCACAACCATCTGTAGCTCCACTTCTGGGGGAATCTAACGCCCTCTTCTGGCCTCTGCAGGCACCGAGAATGCATGTGGTACATAGACACACAGGCAGGCAAACACTCATAATCATAAAATAAATTTTTTTTTAATTATCATAGTATTACATTGATAGGTGGGACTAGCACTCCTATATATTGTTACTTCCAGAAGTGTGTCTGATTTTTACATTGCCCTTTGTTGTTGTTTTTCAATGTCTTTTTAATCCTTTTGTTAAGTTCTGAGAGTGGTACAACTGTTTTTATTATACACACACCAAATTTATAAAATGATTTGATGACAATGAACATTTAAGAGACCTTTGATGCTATTGTCTGAGAAAATAGCCGGTCTCAGAGCAGATGGAGACTCCTTATAGTTTTTCCATCGAGCTGGTATACAGTTTTTAGACATGGTATGTTTAGAAAGTTTGCTATTTGAATTCTGCCTTTCAAAATATGTTCTGGCTGTTGGTTCTAGTGTTTTAGAAATAAGCTGGTTTTTGCAGGATGGATTCTTGGCCTGTCTGTGATGAAGTGTCCCGTCAATCCTTGGGAATTGCTTTGTAGGCAACCACGTCGCTCAGAAACCAGCAAATGCACGCTTCCCTTTCCCATTGTGCTCACTTTTTCTTTCATAATTGAATCGGCTGTCTAGGAAATTCATCACTTTGAATGTTGGGTGTAAAAGGCCTCACTGTCCCTTCCCTGTCATTAATAGGACCATGTGTAAATGTCACCAGCTTAACAGATGTCTATACCTGCCTCCTACACACCACACATTGCTACAACATTGAAAAGAAAGGCAGAAAGCGATTCCCTGTCCTCATTCACTTTACTTTCTAGGTGGTTAGAGTAAGATGTATAAAACTTGTTGGAATCCGGTGATGACACCCAGTAGAGAGAAAAGTTAATGGGAAAAGATGGTGCTTCGTATTAGAAGCAGAATGAGCTGTAACTGTACACAAAACAGTCATGGAGAATGTGGCATTTGAGTCAAGACATGGGAGAGTGGAGCCCCAAGGATGGAACAAGTCTAAAGGCTTGGACACACATGTGGGCACCAGACATGGCTGGCTGGGGAGTAGCCAAGGAAGTCAGGGATTTGATGAGAGTCCGTGATGAGGAGGGAGATGCAGCAATCACAGAAATGTTGGAGGCAACAAGTTTGGCTCCATTCTTGAGTGTGATGAGAAGCTGACAGGAGATTTTTGAGCAGGGTCCAACAGAAAACTCTTTGCCAAAATGATCGGTCTGTGTTTTAAAAGAAAAACTAGCTGCTGTGTCAGGAGTAAATGGAGGGAATGGGAAGAGCTGGGAGGTAGAGGCAGAGGGAGAACAGAGGAGACCAGTTAACAGGCCTCACACTTGCTGATCTGCTGATGTGGAGTCTGGGTAGAATAGAGGGGCCTCGGAGGCATATGGAACCTTGGCCTAAATGTTTAGAATGATGGGATGTTTCACTTAACTGAGATTAAGAAAACTGGGAGAAATAAAGTTTGGGGGAAAGACAATAGTCAGACTAAGACATGCAATATTTGAGGTGCTAAGCTGAGAAAGCCATGGGGAGATGTCAACTAGGCAGGATTGAGGGCCCCAGATTCTGAAAGGAAAAAAAATCTCGATTGGGCATCGTATTTTGAGGATTATAAAATTTCTTCAAAAAATAGATCCACTTTTTAAAGAATTGACGATTTAAGAAATAAACAAACAAATTGCAGAATTGTTCTAAGGACAGATCACTGTGTTGACTCTAATTTTGAAGGTGGAGGAGATGGAAAGAAACCCCCAGTGTTGGCCTGGAAGACACGAGTGAGATAGAACACAGGTGAGGTAATGCCCAGGAAAGCGAGCAAGGGCAGTACTTACAAGAGCCATCAGAGTCTGCCTTACTCACTGCACCTGCTTGTGGTGATATTATGCCCCCAATATATTATGCACTCCAATAAACTTATCTGGGGGTCAGAGAACAGAACAGCCACTATATTAAACATAGGTTTAGGCAGTGGTAGCACATGCCTTTAATCCTAGCATTCCGGAGGCAGAGATCCATCCGGATCTCTGTGAGTTCAAAGCCACACTGGAAACAGCCAGGCATGGTGACACACGCCTTTAATCCCAGGAAGTGATGGCAGGAAGCAGAAAGGTATATAAGGCATGAGGATCAGAAACTAGAGCCCCTTTAAGCTTTTAGGCTTTTGAGGAGCAGTACAGCTGAGATCCATTCAGATGAGGACACAGAGGCTTCCAGTTTGAGGAAACAAGATCAGCTGAGGAATGGCGAGGTGAGGTTGGCTTGTTCTGTTTCTCTGATCATTCAGTGTTCACCCCAACACCTTGTTCCTGAGTTTTTATCAATAAGACCTTTTAAGATTTGTGCTACAGCTGCTGTAACAAACTTCCATGGGCTGGTTGGTTTATCAACAAGGGAGGTGTGTTTATTGTGGTTTCATGGGCTGGGAATCAGAGTCTGGGGTACAGCATGGCCAGATTCCGATCAACTGCTGACTTCTCTTCATATCCACCCAGGGAAGAAGGCAGGAGAGTACCCTAGGGTCTGTTATATAAAGGTAGTAATTTTACTCACATGGACTCCATCCTCCTCACTTGGTTACCTCCCCTCAAAAGCCTTACCTTTTAGTACCATCACACTAGGAACCAGGACAGGAATTCAATGTATGGATTTGGGGGTGATAAGTTCAGTCCATTTTAATGCTGATCGCTACCAATAGACCTGTTGCGTCTTAATTTATTCCATCACTATAACAGAAGACCTGGAGCCCAGCAATGTATAAAGAAAAGTTTGCTTTGGGCCTTGCAGTTCCAGAGTCAGGGAACTTAGAAGAGAGGGTACCAATATCAGCTTAGTTTCTGGTGCAGGCCACATGCTAAAGTCAACACAGGGCAGAAAACAAACAGCAAGCAGACATGCATGAAAGATTGGACCCGGGCAAGCTGATATAAAATAACCCACTCGTGTGATGAGTTTAGTCTCATCGGAAGTTCATTAATGCTTTCACAAGGGTACATCCACCGTGATCCCATCGCCTGTGAGGGCTTTCACCACCCCACTGCCAGCACATTGAGGAGTTAAGCTTTAGTGTGAGTCTTACTGAGACAATCTGACATTCAACCCACCACAGTTTAGTGAACAAGGAAAAAAATGACTCTTGGATGAAAAGATATGGGGATATTTGTGATGTCTACAAGATCAGTGTCCACAGGAGGGAAGGGCCGTGTCCCCTTTTCCTAATTTATGTAGCTTTAAATGTAATTCTGATTCTTTCTAAACAGAGAAACTTGGGGGCTCTATCTTAGCCAGTCAGTAAGTCCGGTGCCATATTTTTACCAATTGCAATTGTTAACAGGGCATGGCTCCTTCCTCTGACTTTGTTTCCTTCTGACTGGAGTCTGGCAGGCTTAAGTAATAGAGTGAATCTGTCAGACACAATCCCCACCCCTGAATTTTTGTTTAGCTGAATATAAAATTGCTGAGTGTCCATTCTTTCTCAACAGATGGAAAGCGTTATTTCCCTCCCCATCACCATGCTTGTTAACAGCTTACTGTCAATCAGAATGTTATTTCTCTGTTATGAGTTCCACCTTCCCCCCTTCACTTTGTAAGTCTGCGTTTTACTGTATGTGTAAGTGTGGGTTTATTTTTACTTTACTCATCCTGCTCAGCATGTGGTGTGCTCTTTCACTGTGAGTCTTTGTTTTTTTTTTTTTCTTCTGAGAAGTTCCCAGCCAACTCCCCTTACACTACCACTCCACTGACAATCTGTTAATTCTTTCTTCAGGCTAAAAATACCGTTGAGTGTGTGCTGGGGCCTCCGTGTTTCCCCTCTGCTTATGTCCATTCTCTTAGGCTTCAACCTTTTGTTTTTGTCTTCACTGAATTCTCTATCTATTCCTTGATACTATAACTTAATTCTTCTGGAGTTTTTTAAATATTGTTTTGGATTTATTTATTTTATGTGCATGAGTATTCTGGCTGCATGTGAGTATGTGCTCCATATGTGTGCAGTGCCTGCAGGGTCCAGAAGAGGGCATCAGATCTCCTGGAACTGGAGTTACAAGCTGTTTGCAAGTCCCCTTGTGGGTACTGGGAACTGATCTGTGGGTCCTCTGCAGGAGCAACTGGTGGTCCTAACCACTGAGCTATCTCTCTGGCTCCTGGGGGTTGTTGGAAGAAGAGGGCATTCCAATGCTTTGGGTTTTCCACTTCTGATTCATTGTGTCTAATCTTGTTTCCCTTCACTTGCCTTTATGGCAGTCTTTCACACCTTGTGTTTTCTGTCTCCCTTCAGCCAGCTGGGTTCTGAAGCAGCTGAAATGAGAAAACGGCAGCAATCCCAAAATGAAGGAACACAGGCTGTGTCTCAAGCACCCGGAAACCAGAGGCCCAACAACACCTGCTGCTTCTGCTGGTGCTGCTGCTGTAGCTGCTCCTGGTAGGTCCATACTAGACCCAGTGGAAGCATATGTACCAAGGCTTTGTCTCACAGAAACCTGCCAACCTGCTCTCCTTGCCCATGGTGTATGTAGAAATCTCTGAAGACCATCACTGATGTAAGATGCACATCCCATAAGCAGAATTTGCTCCCTCAGTACTGACATTTAAAATGTTGGTAAAGTAAAGATGGGGACATTTCTTTAATGTCATGGTTTCTTCCATGTATGCTTCTTATGGATATGGATAAAAATAAGGTCATAATTGTGAGATTACCGATCCACAAGCAACAGTGTCATGATGGTTCAAGAGCCAGGAATATTAAGGGAGTGTCCAATACTATTGCACCCAGTGTTAAATGTAATGTGCTGTTTTGTTTTTTATTACACGTTTCCTCACAGGGGTTGGTTGCGTTTGGTGGTATAATCAGAGCACTGTGAGTCAGAGTGCTGGCTTTAGCCACAGCCTTCTTGCCAGCAAAGCCATGGAGTGAAGAGGGAGGGACTTAGAACCACAAATCTGAAAGATCAGACACTATGCTTGGAAGGAAAATCAAGTCAGTCAACTAAAATCTCTGAAACTAGAGCCATAGAGTATTGTTTTTGTTGCAGTTTAACCACTGGCATGCTGCAGGATATCTGTTTATTCTTTTCTTTCCCCCTCAAACCATAAAAAGAAAGACAAGCTGGTCTCCAAGGTTCCTGTCTTATGCTAGATGTCCATGATTCAGGTCTCTTACCAGGTCCAGATTCCAAAAATATGAAAATCAGTCAATTCAAAATCTGTGAGAATTATGTGGATTAGATAGCTCAAGATAAGACTAGATTTACTGGAACTTCCCATTGAACCCTAAGCTTGGGAGTTCTTTCAAGACCCAATTTTATAAGTAGAACTACCAGCGTAGCCATGGTTACTAGGTCTCCCTGGTCTGTTTCAAAACCTAACAGAAGGCCCAAGTGGTCAAGTCGTCTTCTGCACAGCCTCCATGGTTTTCCAGTGTCCATTGAGGTTGCCCTTTTGATATGGTCCAGCTTCATTGTGGCCAATGCAGAGGATGGAAGCGTGTCCTCATAATGAGTTGATGGTCTCCCTTGATGATGAAAAAGCTGCAGCTGATCATGAAAACTGCAGGCCCAGGAAGGCTCAGGTATTGTAGTCATCAGGAAGGCTCAGGGAGGCTCAGACTGGTTCTTTTTATAAGTGTAAAATTTGCTTTCTAAATGATGATTCTCTGTTAGGGAAAGTCATACATGATTAATTTGCATTCAATTTCAGATGAAGGAAAGAGAGTTCTAGATGGGGTTGCTATCTTTGTCATAGTTAAGAGTTGTTTTTTTTTTTCACCCCTACAGAGACTATTGAGCACAAGTCTTTTTTTTTTTTTTTAGCATAAGTCTTAACCCATGAAGAACCTAGTGAGACAGTATGGGAGTTCCTAAGGCAGATTGCCAGGGATCAAATTGTGTCCTTATTTGTTACCAACTGTGTAACCAATGATAAACTAGTTCATCTTTCTGGTCCTCACAAGCCTCATCTGTCAAATAACTAATGTGAACCCATACCTCATAAGGCTATAAAATTAAATGAGATGCTACGTGTGGTGCGCTAAGAGGAGCCCATGACACAGAGCGAGCATTTAATATGATTTAGCTCCCCAGGCAGTGGAAAATGGCCTACTGGAGTAATAGAATCCACTCAAAGAGTGTAGTGCAAAATTAAAAAAAACAGCATGCAGGGCCAGCAAGATGGCTCAGCAGGCAAAAGGACTTGCCATGTGAGCCTGGTGGCCCGAGTTTGATCCCTGGAACCAACATACTGAAGGCAGAGCGGCAACCCCGGAGGGTTGTCACCTGCCTCCACACACCTGCCACAGCACACTCATGCCTGCACACACACACACGAGCATGCGCACACATGTCACATATACACACAACGATAACGAAAGTTTAGAAGCAGCACAGAAACTAGCCTAGAAAATAAAACTATTTTATCCTAAATTCTGTATAAACATCGGAATCCGGTTACGGCGGCATTAAAGATGGACTTCAATTTCTCATTTGCTCTTTGCCGTGTCCCTGAGATAAGTTATTGTTTTATTTGCCTGGTAAAATTTAGTTTTCAATTTTTTATTTGTTTTTATGTGTATGGATATTTTGCCTGCGTGTACGTCTATGTGCCACGTGCCTCACTGGTGGCCAGAAAGACCAGAAAAGGGCGTCAAATCTCCAAGGACTGAAGTTACAGATGGTTCTGAGCTGCCCAGTCCCTGTGGGTGCTGGGAGTCGAACCCAGCTCACCTGGAAGAGCAGCTAGTGCTCTTCACCACCAAGTCATCTCTCCAGCCCCCAGTTCTTCATCATTTTCAGAATTAAAACACTTGTGCAATGGAGTTTAATTATAGTATTGTTTACATGATTTCAGATGAAAATATCCTTTACACATCAAGTTTTTAGAATTTCATTATTTTTGTGCTTTGAATTTAAAAAAGAAAATTGTAAGGGTTTTTTTTTGTGAGAAATACTTTTTAAAAAAAGAAAGAAATGTTCTTTAAATTTTCCAGGCTAGGTCAAAGGAGCGGAACAAACAGCACCATGAAAAAAAAAATGTAACTTAGAGCCTAAAAAGCGTTAGGAATCAAAACATGAAGCAGCTGTCCCCGTGGATGGGGGACTGCTGTTGTGTGGCTGGCTTCACTTCCTTTTAAGGAAGTAAAGAGCTGAAAAAATGAATTTCTATGTCTAGGGATGCTTCACTATAGCTTCACACTATGGGTTTTTTTAAAACGTGGCATTTCTTTCAGATTTGCATTTCTCATCCACACTTCACTGACAGCCGTCACTCACGTAATAATTTCCTCCTCCTCCTTATGAAACTATCAGCGTTTCACTGTAGAAGGGGGTGCAGAGGACATTCCCGCTGGTTATCCCTACGGTCTCCTCGGAGTCTAGAGTGTGGCGGACTTTGTGATGACTGCTAGAAACTGTGGCCTCGTGCAAGAGCCCCTTCCCTTGCTAACACGGTCTCTTTCTCTTGCTCCCTCTTGAGTCCTCCATTTCAAGAAGAAATGTGAAGAAAATGGGGTTTATATTCTTTCACTGTCTTACACATGAGCCATGAATGCCCCAAGTACAGTGAACAAAATCCACGTGCACTGAGCCTTTTCTGCAGGAAAAAAAAAAAAGGGAACTTTGACAGCGCCACTCATTCATCTGAAGGTTCAGGTCCACCCTAACTTGCCTCTTCAGCTAGTAGCCTTCTGGCTGATGCTTTTTTTTTTTTTTTTTTTTTTTGGTTTTTCGAGACAGGGTTTCTCTGTGTAGCTTTGCGCCTTTCCTGGAACTCACTTGGTAGTCCAGGCTGGCCTCGAACTCACAGAGATCCGCCTGGCTCTGCCTCCCGAGTGCTGGGATTAAAGGCGTGCGCCACCACCGCCCGGCCTGGCTGATTCTTTTTACTGAGGAATACTTTGACACACCCTGCTGTTCCTCACCACCTGCCGTCAGTACAGTATATGAAACATAGGAGCTGCTACAATACTTGTACCCAAGATAGCATATGGAGAAGTGCGCTGGAGACTAGAAACTTCTGTATTCACAAACACAAAGGGCACAGAGAAGGTCAGAGGGTAAAGCTGTCCAATGTTTTTTTGAACTTAGCGCTAAGGTCCAAATGGTCTGCATAACCTCTCATGATAGCAGAGGCTGCATTAAAATAATCCAGGCTCCTTTTCCCCAACATCACTGGGTGCTAATCGCCTCTTCAATGCCTTCCTGCTTTTAGTGGTGTTCAGCAAGCAAGAAATATTAAAAATTAGGACTCAAGAGCTATGATCTACCTACCATTCCCCCATGGTGACATGACCTCTGTTTGATAATGAGTGATGGTCAGTGTCTTAGTGAGTGTTTCTGTTACTGTGATAAAACACTATGATCAAAAGCAACTTTGGGGAGGAAACTGTATTACATCTTATACTTCTAGGTAAAAGTCCATCCCTGAGGGAAATAAGAGCAGGGACTCAAAAAAGGGAGGAACCTGGAGGCAGGAACTGAAGCAGAAACCGTGGAAGGGCGCTGCTTACTGACTTGCTCCTCGTGACTTGCTTAGCCTGATTTCTTACGGGCCCCCAAGACCACCATCCCCGAAGTGACACCTCCCACAGTGATCTGGACCCTCCCGTGTCAATTATCAATTAATTAAAAATGAACTGTAGTATGATGGAGGCATTTTCTCATTCAAGGTTTCCTCTTTCTAAATGGCTCTAGCTTGTGTCAAGTTGACATAAAACTGGCCAGCACAGTCAGGTCATGGCCCTAGGGAATAAAGGACCTGGAGGATTCCTGAATGAAGCCCTCCTGAGCTCTTGTTCTCAGCTTCGCCTAAAATCATTCTTCTCTGGCTGTTTTATGAATTAGACATAGTAGTGAGATTTGCAGATAAAATGTCCCCCACAGTGTCGTGTATTTGAACATTGGGTCACTAGCTGATGATGCTGTTTGGGGAGGCTGCATAACCTTTTTTTAAAGGTTTAACGCTTTAAACCCTTTTTTAAAGCATTACCTTTTGATAAGGATAGCTGGCAGACATGGGCTATTCGGTGTGGACCTTTGCACACATGATTCAAGTCTACCCGCGCCCCCTCTCTCCTTCCTGCCTGTACTTATGAAGGGAGCAGCTACCATAAGGTCCCATCTCCACAGAAGAAACTTCCCTGCTATGATGAATTAATGTCCCCTGAAACTATAGGCCAAAACAAGAAACAAAACTATTTTCAGTAAAACAAAAATGATGATGGCAATAAATGCTTTAATTTCGTAGGTTGGCAAGCCTACTTTCCATAAAGGTCAGATTAGATACCAGGCCTCTTAATAAGCGGTGCACTGACTAGTCCCCATTAATATGGTACTTACAAACTTTTCATTCCCAGGTTTGATATGAACCACTGATAAATACAACTTTCCCAGTCTAACTCCCAATCTTGAGTGCTACTTGGGGTATGGCTCA